GTCGCACCTGTATCCAACAGCATGGTCCGGAACTCTCCATCAACAAAACCATCCACAAAAATGCTGTTGAATTTGTGTTGTAGCGAGGCGACTTGAGCAGTTTTCGTTGGGGCATGTTGGGTACAGGTCGACGTGTGCCCCTTCATTTCGACCCTTAGTAGTTTTCCGACCTCGACGAAGCCGGTTCTTCGTTCTTCTCCTTACAACGGCTTCGCACGTGTCCCACCTGTCCGCAGTTCCAGCAACGAATCGGTCCCTTCTTGCCCATGTACTGGTCCATTACCTTCCGAACAATCCCTTCCACGGATTCGTCGGAACATTCGTCGATGGCCCGTACTCTTCCTAAAGACCGAGAACTTTGTTTCGCGGCCTCAAATTCTAGGGCACGTGCTAAAGCATCCACCAAGTGCGTTGGGTGGGCTAGGAGAAGTGCTTGTCTTGTCTCGTTATCACGTAAGCCGTCGGAGAATGCCTGTACTGCCAACCGCTCCATAACATTCTCTGGCGTAGCAGGGTACGCAAGGCGAACGAGGCGGGCTACGTCGGCTTCAAACTCTGCAGAGACTCATTTGACTTTTGAATGCCATTTTTTAGCTGGGAATGATAGACATGTTCCAAATGAGCTTGGCCGTACCTCATTTCTAAATGTCGTACCAATTGCTGATAATCTCCCTGTTCCGATGGTGACAATGTCTGCAGGATATCAGTCGCATCTCCTCGCAGTGCGACAGTCAAAGCGGTAGCCTTTTCAGCGATTGTCCATCCGTTCGCTCTCGCAGCGGTCTCAAACTGGCAAAAATAATTGGCCCAAGCGGTTTTTCCGTCAAACTGTGGAGGCTTAATAACTGACTTTGAGATATACTTATTTTCGACTAGTTTCTGTGCCTCCGATGTTTCTTGACATTTTGGTGAATTTGCCTTTGCTATTTCTTGTTTTAAAATTTCGATTTTTTTATTTACATCGTCCTCAATTTGTGTTATTTTGTCTTGTAGCTCCGTAGAATTCTTTATAATCTTTTCTTCTAATTCCCTGGAATTTTCTGTTATCTTTTCTTCTAAATTAAGTATTTTATTATTAAAGCTGGCCTGTATGTCTTTAGAATTTTCTGCGATCTTATCTTCTAAAATATTAATTTTATCACTGATTTTCTCTCTAAATTAACTTCCAAGTCAATTATTTTACTATTCAAATTGTTCAAGTTGTCGTCTAATTTTTGAGAATTCTCTGTCATTTTATCATTCAAACTGTCTTCTAATTTTTGTAAGGACTAGTCAAGGTCACCTTCCAACTCAAAGCAAAATGTGTCAGAATCCTCACTTTCCTCCACCAAAACGTCTCAGTCTAGCTTGCAAAATGCTTTTCTTACCATCTGTCTCGCACTCTCTCTCTTCCAGTATACATTTTAATTCCGACACTTTCAAGTCTTTCAACAATTTTTTGGGAGCCATTGTCTGTCTTTTTATTTTCCTGGTCTATCACACACGCCACACTTGACACCAATTGTTCGTTTTTCGTCGGTTCCGTGTGGATAGAAAGTCACAATTTATTTAAACACTATTTATTTAACACTAATTAACAAAAACAATAACGATAAAAGACTTATAGAACTATTTACAAACGATTTATAACTAAGAATTTATTTTGAATTTTAGCGCGTCAACTGTATATTTATAACTGCCCTCTCTAGGCCACTGCCGTCGGCTTTTATACCTACAGCAAAAGAAATCTAGAATAGTCCATAGATCGTTAGGCGCATAGAGAAGGTTTTCGAATGTTCTCGTATGTACTAGTCCATTCTAGTGGGTCTGGATTCTTCTCGAACGAATGAATCATTGCGGTGTCTATGCGAGGTTAAGGTCATCCGAGGGCGGGCCATATTGTGAGGTTAGGTCGAGTCCACACCGGCTCGCAACAATAACTTAAAATGAATGTAGTGATATTATTTTTTTAAGTTTTAGTTTGTGTAATGTTAATTGTAAAGAACCGTTTAATAATATATTCTGACTTTTTATGAGTTATAAATCATAACAAAATAAGAATACCATACAATCTAAGTGAAATTAGTCTAGATAGATAAGAATTGGCTATAAATAAATTTAGCTTTTCTAACATGTCTTAAAAAACGTAACATTCACCGGTCAACGTATCCTCGAAAATGTATCGCCAAGAAAAGCTGAACCAATAATCATACACGCTTTTCTTCATTTGAAAAATTCATATTTACAATTTTTGTTTATTTTAATTTACAAAGTTGGATGTGACAGCTTTACATTTCTGAGAGATGTAAAGAATAACAAAGATGATTAAACTTGTTTCCATGGCTAACTAAGTGAAATTGTTTAAAAATTATAAGAATTGGCTATAACTCAGTAATTTTTCGAAAAACACATATTATAGCTTATATCGCTGAAAAGCTTAAGAAATTGCGCTTTTTGTGAAGCCATGGCCAACTATTGTTTCTATTTAAAAAAACATATGTTTCTGTCATATCTCAAAAATGACAGGCTTTAGAAAAAAACGGAGGACACAATCTTATTAAGGATGTGATTATCTACAACTTTTATCTGAAAACTTTTTGGCTAAAATAGCTTATAATGGAATTAGGAACAATTTTTAAAATAGCCAAAATTTGATTTTTTCGAAATATCTAGTAAGCCATGAACTTTTTCAAAAATCTGAAAGGCGCATATTTATGACCCCACAAAACTGCAATTCTTTCCCCATTTAACCGACCATCTATCTTCAGTAGTTTCCGAGATACCCATAGAGAACATCGTAGGAAACTCACCCTGTATGTTCCTGATATGTCATATATATGTTTCTTTTTCTTAAAAAAAGCATAAGATTTTAGAATTGCTGTCTAGATTTAGTTAAAATACATACTGAAATTAAATAACACTGCCCGCCAGCAGTAATGACAAGCAGCGATTATGCCTCGTTCAAGCCTCTGTTTGGCTGATTTGGCCTAATTTGAGCACCGCGCTTTTTCGACGAAGATATTTGGCGAACCGACATACCTGCCTCGAAAATAATCGCTCCTGTTTTGATGATTATATTAGGGTTGTTTAAATAAATAAATATCGACACACAAAATATCGATACTTTATTTAAAATACATCTACAAGATTATTTACCTCTATTCGACACGAAATAGTGTAGCTAAATTGTTTGATTTTAGTAATTGTGAGTTTTGGGATCGTACAAGGAGTATTGCAGCTACAATTTAAAATTATTTTTATAGGGTACTGTACAAGGTGTCTCAAATTAGTAACAATATTAAAGATGTATTTTTAAATAGGATGCACTTTCCGAATATAAAGATACATTTTCATTACGGTATAACTTACTTAAATCTTACTATTTTTCGAATACGTTAATTTTTGTAAAAATCAATCAATATACAGTATGTCCCCGGATTGTCAAACAAGAGGAAAACCTATGTTATTATTGACATTTTGAGAAAATCTGTTTTAGAGAAATTGTTTTAGAGAAAATTAAAAAAAAAGAACGGGAAAATATAGTTGAATTTTTTCTGTATACTTTGTTTTCTATGGTAATATACTTTCGTTTCCATTCTTTAGTAGATAGTTATTGATAGAATTTTAATTAATGTCCTATTCTTTGCTGTTTTAAAATGTTAAAGAAGCACAAAATTTATTTAGTTCAGTGCTGTGGAAAGGGTGATAATATATTTCGGAAAATGGTATATTTTAACGTAAAAAATATGACGTTAATCAAAATTGATAATAACTATTTATGAAAGAATGAAATCGAATTGTATTACCATAGCAACGCCTTTTGATGTTAAGGACTTTTTTAGTGTTTTTCTATCGCATAAGCGATACCGTGATTTTTATATCACACTGTTAGCTGATACAGTTTTTTTTTCTCAATGACACACAGTCTTTGACACACAGTGAGTTTTTTTTTCTCAATGAGACACACAGTGATTTAAAACAGTGACGCGATCACGACTTTCATATTGTTCCATGGCTTTAGCTAATCCAGCATCTCGTGATAATTGATACCGTTATTCCAAATATCAGTGACTTAATAGAAGATATATTCGCTATACTTTAGCGAAGACTTTAGTGAATTTAGGCTATCGGTGATAACTGATGCTATGATTTCTAATATTAGGAATTTAAAAGCGTGATGTGATCACGCAGTAAGTACTCAAGATACCAAGTTATGTCTGTCAAATTTATCATATGTATATGATGATAATATTATATAATATCATATTAATAATATCGATAATTTTGTAAATATCAACATCCCTAAATTAAATTATGGCTTGGAAATATTTTAATGGGCCGGGAGGGTTCTTGACCTGACGCACTCGAAAAATCAACGTTCTTTCCTCGGTGGGCCGGTTCTTTTTAAACTAATAATGTTAATTGGCCAATTGGGCTAATTTACGTCTTGTATTTGTCAAAGGGATTCTTATCTCGTTATTTTTTGAAGGTATATAATAAACACGAAGGATAATATAATAACATGTTATGGCACGGAATACTTAAAGTTGCCTACGCTGTTTTTAATTTTTGTTTAAATTTTTCTTTTGCCATTAACGGTTTACAGATTAGCGAAATAAACTAAGGTAGAAACTAGAAGAATTTCGGACTTCCATTGTCTTTATTTATCTTGCATACACAACGTTTCGGTCAGAAGTATCACTGATGGTTATCAAGTTGTGAATTATTGTGTAAGCAAAATAAATAAAGACAATGGAAGTCCGAAGTTCTTTTAGTTTCAATACTGAATTATTTTTTACCTATTCAAACTAAGTTAGCACAACACTCCAAATACTTTATAAACCCTGTACAGTCAGGATGCATTTTTTTAATTTTAATCATCAGAATATGACTAAATCTAAAAAATATGTCATCGATTGTCATTTACCAGCCATCTGGACGCCGTTTTTTTTTCGATCATGCCCATTTATGTAGAAATTTCATAGGCAGTTGATTAATATTTGTTTTTCTTTTTGTTTCAGTCCCAGTAATACAGCTTTAAGTTCCTTGGAACAAGTTAAAGAGTACCTGCTTACGTCTGGTACGTGTAAGTGCGGTCTCGAGTGTCATTTTAAGTACGAAAACGTTTTTAATTTCGATCCTAAGGTAAGTCTTTAATCATTTTTTATTATATAAAATGAATACACAGATACGGGTAGCGCCGTATTTTATTTTGTCCAAAGACTTTAACTTTTGATAAGTTAATAAGCAAATCTGGCTATTTAGTCAAGTCTAATTCATATTGCAAAAGAAATATCATGCACTGTGAAATAGCACACTCAATGCATTTAGAACATTTTTTTCATTTAATAATAATCTTTTTAATAGTCTCTATATTTCAAACAATTGTATCCACCAGAGATGACTATTAATTTCATCTCTGGTGTCACGAAAGACTATCATTTTGACATATTTTGTAGTATAAATAGCTTACTTCGGGTTTGTCTTATTACCGATTCTGAAACACTCTAGAACTGTACGACGCATGCGCATTTAAAAAACCGCCGCGTATTGCTTTGTGCGCATGCGTATCATAATTTTAGGACAGTTCAGAATTGGAATAAGAAAAACTCGAAGTATGTTAGGTAGGAAGTAATTTTAGATTACTTATTAGATTAGAGTGTTGGATACAAAAATTCATTAAATTTTATAAAGAATTTAAATATTTACGAAAAACAAACTGGTTAAATTATCGCCGCGCCGGCGGTATGGATAATTGACGAAAGAAAGCCCGCCGTTAGTTTTACAAATTTATTAACATGAATACCGCCGAAAAACGAGGCAATTTTTTCAAGTATGGCGATTGTTGCTAAATATATAAATAGAATAATACCGCCGTTTGGCGGTATACTTTTTTAAGAAACAGAGATACCGCCCTCCGCCTCCTTACAGCGTGTTTTGATTGCTTTGGTTTCACTCTTCTGTTTTTTTATTTTCGATTTTCTCTCTTTGATTAATGCGTATCTGAGTGCTATGTATATTTTTATTTTAAAATTGAATGTATACAATTTTTTACAATTATCAAATAACGACAGCTAAGGTTATGTTATCATTTCTGTGGTATTTGATGTTTAAATTACAGTATGCCGCTGTTGAACCACTTTTGCCTGCCAGGTTAAGTGTATACCGCCGTCAACGACAACTTAATTCAATTTTCCACCGGCATTTACAGATATAGAAATATCATGCCGCCGGATGACGGTATTTTTTATATACACACTACCGGCGCGGGCGCCGCGGTTGTTTAGTCAATGCGTAAGAAAAAATGGAGAAATCCAGTTAAAATATGTAATTTGCTGTAATTTTTTGGTACTTCCGGAAATGTGGTTATATTGAAAATATTTTTAGTCAAGAGATTTCATTGTGAAAAAGATTGAAAAAAACATTGATAAGTAGATGTTCAAAAAAAGGATCCGATCTAGACATATTAGTTCTCTATAAACTTCTAATGCAATCTCAACCAGGATCACCGTGTATGTCTCTACCGGGTGCGTCTCAAAAGTGGCTCACCCCTATAACTTTTTTATTTTTTTAGATAAATTAACGAGACTTTAGACGTAGTATATGACATAAATGAGGATTGATTGACGTATTTAATTGTTATTGGTCACTTCTTGTTTCACCGGAAATGACTACAACTTTTGATTTTTAAATGGCACCCTCGGTACTTTTTTACTTTATTCGATAGAAAATGACATTCTGAATAGAATGACATATCTCTAGAGTGCGTGCCATGGTTATTATGCTAAAAATACTAATTTGTAATCAAGGAGCCTTGAAAAAATAGATTGGATCGTCTAATGTTTTTAGTGTTTTGTCAGGCCAGTTAGAAAATGCTCAAATCGTATTTTTCATCATATCTCAATTTTTTCAAATGGAACGAGGGTGGCTCATTAGCATATTTTGAAAAAGCATTTTTTTACGAATAATTTAATGCCACACACTTGGAATTTTCAGTCAAATTTTCGTTACGAACCGCAAGTTATAATATCAAATAAACCATATGTGAAAATGTCAAAAGTTGACATATGATATGTCATTCGATTCAGAGTGTCATTTTCTATCGAATGAAGTAAAAATATATCGAGGATGCCATTTAAAAATCAAAAGTTGTAGTCATTTCCGGTGAAAAAAAAAGTGACCAAAAACAATTGAATACGTCAATCAATTCTAATTTATGTCATGTATCAACATACCAAATCTCGTTTTTTATCTAAATAAATAAAAAAGTTACGGGGGTGAGCCACTTTTGAGACGCACCCGGTATATTGGTATATTTATGTATACCCTAACTGTATTTAGCGAGCTTCATAGATCTTTTAGGAAGTGATGTATCGATAACGATCGTTATATTATTGGATATCGAATGTCGGCGTTACGAAGGAAATGTTATAAATAAAGTTAACGCACTATCCGAGTCTCGGGGTAGAACGTGACTCAAAGGTCATGCCTTTAAGAAGCTATAAATAAAATAATTGCACGGTGTGAAAGCCGTGACGCCTTAAAAAAAGAAACCGTTCGGATATCACAAGGCGTGTAATAACGAGCTTGTTTTACGATAAACCCGTTTGACGGATGTTATGGGTTAATTAATTGAATTAGAAGCTGACACTTATCTCTAATTATGTACCAAAATAATTAAAAAGCCGCTTTACAATTAGTCATGGATATCTGCAGTTTTTATTACAAAGTTTTTGTTGTATTACAGCAACAAAAATGTAAATCTAATATCCTCAAAAAATTATACAGGATGTTTCAAAAATCATGTGCCATATCTCGTGGAGAAATTTCTCACGTATAAACAAGATTTATTTTTTATGTTAACATTTGCCCAGTTCTGCTTTGTTTCGTAGCAATGGGGGGTTACAGTCTTCATTCTTTTTTCAATTTATTATCTTTTTTTTTCAAGTGCTTCTAGTGATTGTAATGAAATTTTGAAGATAAAAGTGCTACATATTTCAATTCAAGTGTCGACAAATATACCAGATTCGCCCGAGACGTGCATATGGTGCATATCACTGGAATGTTTTTCTAAGCCCGTTAAAAGTCCTATCTTTATATTTTGTCGATTTTGATCGCCTTGGTGAGACAAACGCTGCTTTATCAATCACAATTAATAAAATAAAATTTAAAAAAAAATATTTATTTAATCTAATTTATTAAATTTTATTAAATGATAAATTAGGTTACTGATGTTCAGTGCTACCTACAGCAAATATATATAGCATATTCAAAAAAATAATGGCATTAAAGGTAATTACAAAAGGCCTATTTTCTTTTTTAGTTTTAACCTTTTTTTGTAACTTTAAAACTGTGCATTTCCGCACCCATGTTTATAGGAACTTTTTTCATATTTTTTTATGAGAATTAATGAATACGTATTTTAACACTTTAATCAGTTAATGACATAAAAAAAATCAAAGTTGCTATTGTACTTCGATTAAGGCAAATTAATAAAATTGTGTTTATCTCATCAAGGAGATCGAGATATCAAGACAACTGTGCTAACAAGAAAAAACAATTGTGGCGCAACGTTTTTTTATAAAAATATTCCAGTGATAACCCATACGCACGTCACTGGTTTTTTTAGTATTAAAATATGTCGCACTTAGTAAATTTTATCCTGAAAATTGCATCCCAATCGCTAAAAAACACAAAAAATTGCAATAAATCGAAAAAGGAAGAAATACTTTAACCCCCTGTAGCGACGAAACAAAGCAGAATCGGAACTATACTGATATAGAAAAATAAATCGTTTTTTTAGGGGAGGAATCTCCCCACGATAAATGGCACACTTTTTTTAAACACCCTGTATAAATAGACCAACCTTACTGTACAACATGAAGGTAGCCACGATAAATTTAACACGATAGGGACATTTATTTATTTACCACTCTTGTCTGTTTTTATGAAAATCCAGAAGCTACGCCAATGACGATGGCAATTTTTGAAAAATACCTGTCTGTCTGATCAAATCAGACTAATTAAATAAACGATTTGTTTACATTTTGCTTGTTTATATTGAGCCAAAACAAATCAATGTATATGGTTAGTCTATTTTTTATACATGTTTAACACTCATGGCTTAAAACTTAAAACTGATAATGATTATTCTTACAAGGGTGCCAAACTACCTAAATTATACATGTACCTATGCCTTGGTACTAAGGTCTGTCTAAACTACAACGAGTCAGCGATTATTTCGACAGACAGATTCTTTCTGTCATTTTTTAACAGATCACGTAAAACATTGTTCATAGATGAAAAAATGGACGTTTTCCATCGTAAAAAATATGTTTGTATTTTTGACTCGGCTATATTTTTGACTCCAAAAATACAGCAGTTTTGTCCACGGAATATGAGGACAACCTGTATATTTATATCGATAATCGTCTCATTTTGAACCGACTATTTTTTTCTCTATTTTAAGTAAAGAGCATGAGAATCTATTTTTTACATCCTTAAGTATAAATCGTTTAGATTATTATGCTAACAGGATTCGCGTGCATACATTTCAATTACGATATAATTATAACTAGTTTAACTTCTAACTCGCAAGATAAATAAGTACACTTATTATAAATAAATTATTGTTTATACTACCCAGTCACGTAAGCATATGTATGTTTGTGTGATAAATTACATTTTTAATCAGATGGTAAATTTATTACATAAATATTTATACTTTGATATTCAGATGAACTATTTTTTTTTCGGAGAAAAATAGAAAATCATCTCTTAACATTTTCCCAGGAATTAAATTGATAATTAAGTTTAGAGTTATTTACTAAATATTTTATTTTTAATTATTATAGAAACTATACAGATTTAGGTCTTTATTATAATATGACAAATGATATATAAATTAAGGATATTTCCTTTGATATACAGGGTAATTCATATTGGACCTCCACTATTGGGATCTCATTTATAGGAGATACGAGGATAGTTAAATTAGGGCAATGTTGTGCATTAATGTGCCTAATAATATTCCGTATAGAAACATTTAAAAATTCCGAGTAATTTCAGGGATGAAGAAATTTGGTTTTTCGGGTTATTAAATTGCTTCCTAACGTTTCGCTAGCACGAGTGGCTAGCATCCTCAG